TACATGAGGAAAACGTACATCTTGACTTGGCAATTAAGCTGAATGAGAAGAGCCAGATTTCTCGGAGACATTTTTATTTGTTCGGTTTGACTCGGATACGTGAGAATGTTCACGAATCGTATTAAGATTGTAAACAGAAATATTTCCTTTTTGCTTATTATACCCAACTCGCTTTCGAATTAGCTTCCACCTGTGAGGCGATTTTCATAGCTGCGTAGCCGTAAAACTCTACGCTACGTTACCAGTTTCCACTTGTTGGACAGTTTCTTAGCTGCGTAATCGTAGACCGCCTTGTAATAGCACACTGTATTTTCTAAGTTGCATCTCCAGTTACTTGCAACAGTTTGGATTTTAGATCGCTTTGCTAAACTTAGTTTACATGATTTATATATAAATTTATTTAGTATAATATAATAGCTTAGTTGGTATAGCGTCTGGCACGGTATGTTAGAAGGCATCGGTTCGAATCCGGCCGGATCGAAGGAATTTTTTCTGAGTGTTTGATCTTTGTATCAATAATTATAACACACTAGTGGAGTAATTTCACATAAAAAATAATTGAATATCAATTCAATAAAAAAAAATTAAATATAAATTTATTATTCAGATTAAATTTATACTTAAATTAAAAATATTTTAAATTAATTAAATTAAAATAAATTAAATTTTTCTTACTTTCGTGTAATTGTTACTAACATAGGTATTAAGTTGTGAACTAACAAGAGTTATGGACTAAGTTTTGTCTGAGTATTAATGATTTTTATTTTTATTCTATTTATTTATTTATTATCAATGGTCGGGTAAAGGTGTTCCAAAACTATAAAGATACATATATAGATATCGCTACAAGGAGTTGTTAAAACAACCAAATGTGAAATGATAACTTTTTCTAATTCCGGATTTCCGGAAATGGTTTTATTGCATTGTAGGATAAAACTACTGACCTAGGAAGTCGATGTTGGATTTTAGAGTAATTGTAGTAGTGCCATGTCAAAAAATGCAGTAGATAACTGACCATTCACCAAAGCAGAGAATAAAAAGAAACGAGAATGGTCACTCTCCGCTCCTCCGTATCTTCAGATACCGCACCCCACATATTGACGGCCATATTGACGGAACGACAACAAAGCTGTTAGCGATTCATTCGCTAAGGACAAAAAATCCCTCCCTATATTGTGTCCGGCTCAAAAGTTCCCATTATACTGGCAGCATTACCTGCTGAACCAACCACGTAGCCCCCGTTTAAATAAGTCCTGAGCTTCCGAACTCCAGAGGACCCCACTGTTTCCATCGCGACCGGTACGAAGTCGTACACCGGTTGCAAGGCAGCATATTTGGTGCTTTCGTTTCGCGGCCGGCATTTTCAGCCGCGGAATCTGCCAATTTCGAAGTCTGTTTTCTTACTTACACATATTGCGTCCCACAGAAGACAACGACCTAACGACACAGTCTACAATATTTAAAGTACTTCCCCTCCGTGCTCCATAGCCGTGGAATGACCTAATGTATGATACATTTTCACGCAGAATAGGTCGCGGGCTAAGGAAAAATTAATATTTATCTTTAAGTTAACAAGTACAAGCACGCTCAACGAGATCCTTGTAATAAACCGCTGCTGCTAGGTCCTGTCCATTACTGCAATACATATATATGACTCCCATTAGCCCTGTAGAGCGTGGTGCTATTGAATTGCTGTCATAAACTTTTATTCCGTCGAGATGAGGGTCTATAAATTACAGCAGTCAAGCGACACTATTTCTATTTATACTCTACTGTTTGTGGTGATTTAGAAAGCAAATAAATACGTAAAGAAGTCTCTTTGCGTAGTGTATATAAATACACGGTGTCCGTAGACGAGGAACTAACCCCGTTCGCCAGAGAAAAAAACAAAACTTAGATATGTTTAATTTATTTCGTATGGAAATAAAATATTTTTAGTTGAATCTAATTAGACTTCTAAAATTGCCAATCGACATTGGTAAATAATTTAAAAAAGTAAAACAAAACAGTGTCATATTAATCGTTTTCTTTCTCACCTAGTCATACGAAAACAATAACCATTTACACCCAGCTTCATTTATAAACTTTCCTAACGTAAGTTATCTCATTAATTCTGACTAAAAACCTGTGCCTTAGGGAAATTAGGTATACAATGAGTCAGTGTTGTCTCACTGCTAGGACAATTTTACGTTTTGTCTCCTGTATTTAATCCAATAAGGTATGTTTTGAAGAGGTAGAGCTCCTCACGACAGACTTCGTCAAAGCACTGCCACCATACCTATTTCTGCCACTAAGCAATATGTGTGCATTACCTTCATAAATCATTATATTAATCAAAATCATTAATTATTTCATGTTTAAAGTATTCTAAAGTTCTCAGTTTAGCTCACCGATGCAAAGTTGCCTGTCTGTGAATTTTCTACGGAATATAATTCGATGAGTGTGCCTATGACCTCCATCAGCTCATTCCGCTCGACCCCTTTTGCCAGACATCCAGACGTATGAAGGAATTTTTTTTATAATATCTAGTGACGGGACGAACAAGTCATGGTAAACTACACGCCTGTCCATAACAGTTGCAATGCCACTCAGAGTTTTAAATAGGAAATATCTAATGGGCACTGCCACTGCACCCGTCACCCAGAGACTCAAGTTGACAAATTCCATGTGCCTGTAATTTCACCTGCACTCTTACCCTTCCAAACCGGAACACAGTAATGCTGACATTACTGCTTGGCGGCAGAAACAGGTATGGTGGTACCCTGGACGAACTTTTTCACAAGGAGCTGGCTCTACTGCTACTATTACCCTACCAGGTCGATATTCGCTTCAAGCGTAGTAAGTGCTTTTCGTAATCTTTTATTAAGCATACACACAGCTCAGGAATGGATTTCTCTGTCTGCGACTGTGTTTCCGATCACATACAACCCGATTATCTTTAAAGTGTAACTGAATCGGTAGACCTTATCTTTACTCCAGGGACAAGTAGTTGGCTTGAGTAAGTCCATTTACTTAAAAAATACCTACTGCGGTGCTGTTTTAAAGTGTAAAGGTGCTGGCGACGCCTTACCATGAACTCTTATTACGATTCAGTTTAAGACTGAAATGTTTATTTGTGAGACAGCGCTACATGAAGAGTACATCACCATCCTGCTTTTTTGTCGTTACGAACCTATACTGAACTGTAATAAGAGTTCATGGTAAGGCCCCTGACACGTGGGACTTATGAACTTTATATGTCAGGGTGACGAGAACAGTGCTCAGGTCTGATGACACTGCAACTATTCTGCCGTTAACCAACTAAAACGCGTGACAAGAAATCACATATTTGTTTCAAATAGCATAAGATAGAACTCAAAATTCTCTTGTATAAACAATTAAAGTTCCTTGATGATGATATTTTCTACGATATCTTGATAATATCTCAAAAAATGCTTTTTTCAGTAATGCTTTTTTCACATAGCCGCATTTTAGTTAGTGGATGGCAGTATTATAGTTAAGCGTGTCGTTTAGTACCAGACGCGTGACTGTTCTGTAACTTGATATCGTAAATAATTATAAATTTAAAAAACCGACCTCAAAAGTTTGTGGAATTACATCTATTTGCCAAGTTTTATTGCAATCGATTCGCTGAGTGTGAATGAAATCCTATAAACTGAATTTATCCCCTGATTTGCCACCCTTTCGGGGTGGAATATTTTCTTCAAGTTTGAATGGGATCATTACTTAGATACCCCCTTTCCAACAAAAAAAGAGTCATTAAAATCGGTTAACAAATGTCGGACTAATTGCGCAAAATACGCAAAAAAAATCTAAATTACATACGCATTGAGAACCTCCTCCTTTCCTTGAAATCGGTTACAAAGTAATTATTTATATAAAAATGAAAGATAACGATAAATTTATTGTGTATCACTATTATCACATCGAGGTACAATAAAAACAAAAGCATTTGCAAATGAACGATGTGAATTTCCGTTGAAGCAGACTTCACATTCCAACAGCTCTGAAGAAAACTTGTAAACTATTCTGGATCATGCAAACCACTTCCACGTGTTCATCGTCCGATATAACACTACCGCTACATCGCTTATTAAGTTGATAATCAAAATGAAGATTTAGAGTGAAAAGTTGAGGGCGGTAAAAACCCACCCACGTCCTACCTTGAAAATTATTCTATATTTACAACAACGTAAATAAATTAGCCTCCAAGTCTCCATTTATACTCTACCAAAGTATAAAGTCAAAATTAAAATACGACATTGTTTATCAAAATCCTACGTACAATTATATACAGAGAATCTTCTCGCAACCCTTTTTTGAGAATAATAAAAACAGTGCCAAGCACTTTCCTTTTCGTTCTTCTTGTTTTTTTATTCTTTTAATTTCGAAGTCGAATCACGTTTTATGTTTTAACGTTTTTCTTTTTAATGCATCATAGTTTTCTTCATTTGTTGAAAGAACTGTACACTAACCTAACCATATTTTGTTTGACTTTTGCGTTGATATGAACTTCAACCCGACACACAGGTTACCACCTAGTTCAGGGGTAAAAGTATCGCCACCGCCTTAGACACTGTTGTACAAAACTGTTTAGTTGTAATCAATGTCATGTCATGTTATCCTTTACTTTCTCGGAAGGATTATCAAACGACCTCGGTGGCCCAACGGTTTGCACCGTGGGCGCTGAATCAGGAGCCCCAGTAGGACCTATTTGGGAAACAACTTTTCTAAATTGGTTCTGTTGTAGATAGTGCCCCGGAGTGAATTCCGTTTCTCTGGTACTCATAGTACATTCCACAGTTTGACACCAAGTAGGTAATTGGTGTGGTAGTCTGAAAATTTAATTATTACACATACACACATACAAACAGCGCTGCTACTTTGGATAGAAGTGGTGGAACTACTCTATAACGCTTCTTTGAGTGTTGGCCTGAGGATGAATATGTCCAAGACGAAGATTATGGCAAACCTCACACAGTCCCTCAAATACCACTGACATGGTGGAAAATGCGAGTCTGGAGAGAGACGAGCAGTACGTTTATCTCGGACATGTTCTATCCTTTGGCAAAGAGCATCAGCCTAAGAAGATGTCAAAAAGAATACAGCTCGCATGGGTTGCGTTTGGCAAGTTAAATGACATACTTAAATCAGACAATGTTCCACAGTGTCTGAAGACCCGCCTGTTAAATCAATGTCTTCTGCCCACCATGACGTATGGCGAAGACATAGACGCTCACGCAGAAGTATACATGTTGAAAGTTGAAAAGAGAACCATGGAGCGCGCCAAGCTCGGCATCCGCCTTGTAGACCGAGTTGCGAACGTTGAGATACAACGACAAACGAAATTCCAGGATGCTGGAACTCGGATCATGGAACTCCAATGGGGTTGGACGGGACACATAGCAAGGTAGGTGGAGCATCGACTAATTGGTGGCCGAGGATGGGCAAAAAACAATGTCGGGCGCCCTGTTGCAAGGTGGGTCGACGACATAGTACGCGTCGCGCACAAACTACGGGCGCATGGCACAAACTTCGGGAGGCCTAGACCCAGTAGTGAGTGAAATCAGGCGATGGATGATGATGTTATTACCCTGTTGGGGACGTCGGGAATATTTTTAAAATGTAAACGCTTAACTCATCGAAATCATCCAACCAAAAAGTAAAATTTGTATTTTTGTTAATATTTTCACCGGAAGTAATACTCCCCAAATTTCTATAAGCGGGGACGGTCAGGAGAGATTTCGGTAATGATCCCTTTTTAATACAGGTTTATATAATTTTAAAGGTCCAGACTTGATTATATTGATACACGTGCGATGGTACATAAAATAAAAAGCGATAATAAAAAAAACTACATATATATAGGATGTAATCGTTAACTGTGCCCAGGCGATTAATTTGTAAATATAAAAAATATCAAAAACCTTCAATCCTAATATCGAAAGTACGTTGCGCATTGAATAAAACGACGTCAATAACTTTTTAAAAGAAATCTAGAAATATCCAAAATATCAAGGTTAAAAGCTCCCACACATTAAATATGACATTCGTGTAGAGAGGCTTTAGTTAAAGTCAATTAAATGATAAAAATAAGCTTTCAGATAACGAAAATGATATAAAAAAAGTAATAAAACTATCTTTTACTAAAAATACTATACTTTTAATAAAAACAAATTGATTTTTGCATTTAAAGCATTTGCTCGAAACTAAAGCCTCTTTAGTTTTTTCCGGCATCCCCCAATACCTCGAAAAGGATACCCATATTGCATTAAATGCAATTTCGATCGACAATGTCAAGCATCTGTAGGCACCTAATCGACATTGTTGATCGTATCTGTAGGCACCTTATGAACTTTTGAGTCTGGGCAAGACATTTTGTTTTAAATGAGTGTATGATGAACAAGAATAATGATTTTTCACATGAAACTAATGAAGGCAAATACTAAATATATTTCGTAAAAATAGCTAACGTAAATTCTCTACAATGTTGTTGTGGCGGTGTACATTTGTAGAAATTCTGCAACCATCACGATATTGCCTATTCTCAAAAAATTACATAATATAATTATTTTGAAACAGAATAGCAAAATGGGGAGAAAAAAATCCGTTACTTTGCAACATTTTCGCGTCTTGTTGCAACGAAATTAATTTTCTGTTTTAGTGAATATGTACATAAAAATACAAGTTAAAACGCGTTACTTCCTTGTGGAATCTGATCTTCACGATGCAAGTTGACCTTGAGCACTGACGGCCCGCCCGCTCGTGTAGGCCCATTGAGAGCCTTACAATTTGCCTCACTTAGCGTGTGCGGACTAGGTTTCTATGCGTTATTATTCTAAGTGTAGCGCCATCTATCGAGTAATTTTAGAATTTCCCTTAAAAAATCCTGTCTACTTATACAGCTCTAATGTCCATTTGCACAAAACTTAAAGTATGTCTTAAACCAATGCTTAAATTTGTCAATTTAAGCATTGGTTTAAGACGTACTCAAGTTTAATGCAAGTGGACATAAGTGTTGTTTGATAGTCTCTTCGTTATCGATGTCGTGTCAGTTTGAAGAATTTTACTTTTAGAAACCAGTGAAAATCTTTAGGAGTGGGGTGATTACCCCAGATAACTCCTATAGATTTTCACTTGTTTCCAACGTATTCACGTTGGATGAGGTAACACATTCCAACAAACTGCAATAGTTTTGACAGCTTTGTAAAAATGTATCTGGTTTGGCATTATCACACATATACACTTTTACGATTTACCAGTGCTGGGCGTTATTCATAAACTATGCACAGACGTGTCACTTACCACCAGGTGCACGACTTATTGGTCCGTTTACTCGGTATCATTAAAAAACTATAAACTTACCCGCCTATTCTTAAAATGCGCGCTGAAATATTATTTTTAAAACAGTATAACATTTTTAAAGAAAAAAGTTCTTTTTTAAAGTTAGCTCGTAACAAAAACCGCACGATTTTTTTTAGCCAACCCCATTATTTTATAAAAGAACACCTAAACGCAACAAACAGAGAACTAAACTGTAGTGAGACGTTTATCATGAATAAATATTAAGGCAATAAATATGTATGTACATACACTTGCCGTCCTTTTACCATCCAGGTAGACAGAACCTTATTTCTTATTTCTTAGGCCAAAATAAGCCAAAACAATATTGTGCAAAATGTAATAAATTATCTTTTCAAGTTTTCTAAACTTTACGTCCCATCTACCCTTTACTGTGTTATTTATTCCAGATAGTATCCGAATCGGACTCTTGCATAAAGATTGGACCCCACGTATCAGCACCACGACTAAACGTATGTTTTATTTGAGGTATCATCTCACTTCTTGGTGCTACGTCCTCAGTATACTTCATATAAAAAGATGGTTATTATTCTCGTAAGACCCAAAAATCACTCCATACATCAATATATTTATTGTTATTGTTATACACCAATAAAGGAAACAAATACAATACAATCAAGTTAAAAATAAGCAGTAATACGATGGGTGGTCTTATCGCTTGAAGCGGAAACTGCCAGACAACCTATGAATGGAAGTAATTATATAACTCACTGGAAAAAGACAGCGGTGTATGAAGAATTACTAATCAATAGACAGAAAAAACGATAGACAAATACAAATATACATCTATTTATAAATAATAAAACCAATACATATATATGAATATCATAAACTACTATGTATCCGTAGACCTATAAAAATAAAATTTTTAAAAGATAATCTTAAAACATAAAAATACCTAAGCAGTTCAAGTTACACTAAATAAAGTAAGGTAGTGTTCTTTTACCATATTTTTGAAAATAAAAGAGAGTTGAACATGAGCGCAGAAGTCGGGGGTTGGATTGATGGGCGAATACAAATCGTACTAAATATAATTACATACTTCAAGTCCCCGCAAGTATGACCTTAGTTTCGTATGAAAAACCTATTTTTCTAGGTCGCAAGGAATATGTAGCGCTAAATTTGAATGCGATATTTACATTACAGTTTACGCCTGACGTTTACGTGATCACAGAAATAATATAGTTTGGGTCACTTCACATGTTATGTACGGGGCCTTAGGAGTTTATAGACACGATGATGACATGTGCTGATAAGTGAGATTCAGCCGTAAACCGAAATAAATAATTATACTTCCAACAAATACAAATCCAATTTTATTTACCAGACGTCGCATAAATACTTAACATTGTGCTGATCTCGGTGACACATTTCATGTTTCATTTTGCTTGTTTACCATCTTCACTACGTTGGGTTCGATTTATGTATATTCATAAGAAACGTCAATTTATAGTCTTTTCTAAAACTGTTGGTAAATAGAACATGAAATTTATTTCATATGTATTTGATTAATTATAAATTTCTCTGAAATGGGTCAGAACTTTACAGATTTAGCAATGTTGTTTCGGTAAGGAAATTATACAAATTACACGTGGTCGATAAGCGCCATAAATACTCAAAAATAATAAGTCATTAATACTCCACCAAAAAGTTTTAAATAAAAGATACGACTAGATAGACGATATAGTAGTTCCCTCCCAACAAATAAATACAATTTTTACAAGAAAACAGTACTCTAAACAATCTGCCTATCTCTATAACAAAATTAATAAAGTATTACAAATTTATCCAACGAATTATTACAACTGTAAATACGCTATAATAAAATGGCCACAATTATTCATCTATGACGAAACTGAATCATTGTTACTCTACGCACGCACGCACGCACGCACGCACGCACGCACGCACGCACGCACACACACACACACTTACTATAAACACTTAATCTTAAATCACTGTTAAGCAAAATCAATTAGACTTGATGTAGATCCTGTATTTGTAATGTGGAAAAGCGAGACTCCTAGCACAAGTATATATTTACTTAAAAAGAGTTTCGAACCCTGATTTGTAAGCTAGGCCAAACTTATAGTAAATAAACATTTTCTTATTATAAATAAATA